AGTAACAAGTGCCTTACTAGTAGTAACAAGAAGCTAGTAGTAACAAGTGCCACGCTAGTAGTAACAGGAAGCTACTGGTAACAAGTTGTTTTGATTGGCTTTGTGACAGGCTTTGTGCCCTTTCGGCCCCTTCACGTGAAAGGTGGTTGGGCCTTGTTGAATGTCGAAAAGGTGAGGAAGAAAGAGACAGACAGACAGGTTGGAACCTCGTTGGAGTCCATTAGGTTCCTTAAGCTAGGTTCCTTTTGCTACTAGAGACAGGCCACTCCAACATCACAGGGTCCAGGACCTAGATCAGAAAGCATAAAAAGCGCGCAGCTCTCAACCGTTGAAGCCAACATTGCATAGCCATGGTAGGAACAGTGATCCTGGACAACGGGCCAGATCACAGGAAACAAGATGAAACAAGCACAAGCAACCCACCTACTAGCGATGGCCTCCAACCTAATAAAGATCGCCTCGAACCTAAAGATCGCCCCCAATGAAATAGTGATGGTCTCCATCCCACCAGCGACGGCCTCCAACCTGCTAAATGATACCATGCACGTTGAGTTTATGCCGTCCAGGCAAGGTCTCCACAAGATCTTCAAGTTGATCAAAACTGAAGAAGGGAAGATCCAAGCGCAAACAAGAGCAAAGCACTCCCAGCATTGCCCCTCACAGATGAGCCAACAGCTCCACTAGGGATTAGAACCTCAAGTGATGCACCAACAGTTTCAGTGAATTCCAGACCCGCACCAAGGTGATTTGCATAGATGAGCTCCAAACATCATAGAAACATAGAAACAATAAGCTACTAGGAACAAGTGCATCGCTACTAGTAACAAGTGCCTTACTAGTAACAAGAAGCTAGTAGAAAGTTTCAAAATCCGATTCGATTTTGTCTCGATGTTGTCTCTTCGTTTTTCCGAAAACAGGCCATCGCTTCTAGGTTTGACATCCTGACCTACCGAGCTTTGACCTGGCTTACCTTCGCTCCTAGTAGCAAGAATGCTCCTAGTAGCGATGCCAGGAGCCCTAATAGCTTCTTGTTACTAGTAGTAAGGCCAGGAGCCCCTAGTAGCGTCCTTGCTGAGGCGGGGAAAACTTCCTTGTTGAATTGCCTGGCCGTTCGCACCGCTCCAACGTCGGGCGAACTCACCTTCAACGCGACGCTTGGACCAACATCTTTGGCGAAGCGAAGTCGTACAGGAGCGTCCTTGCTCCTAGTAGCGATGCCTTTGCTCCTAGTAGCTTCTTGTTACTAGTAGTAGGGCACTTGTTCCTAGTAGCGTGGCACTTGTTACTAGTAGCTTCTTGTTACTACTAGTAAGGCACTTGTTACTAGTAGCGTTTTTGCTCCTGTAGCGATGCCAGGAGCCCCTACGACGAAATGAAACTCCAAGTGTTCCCTTCCCGCCAAGCGAAGCAAATGCTACATTTTAAGCTACATTCGCTACATTGCCGAGGTGCCCATACTCACAGTCGTTGAAGGGAAGAGTCGCATATGTTCACCAGCAAGTGCCTGGGCAAACTGGTAGAAGGAAGTTTGAAGAATTTTTTTTTGAGCGCAATAGATTTGGATAGATATTGCGCATTCCTGGTGTTTTTGAGGAAATGTTGCTGGAGAGCTACACCCCAAGGGAGCATTTGCTGTTCCAAAGCACATTGCGGATGCCACGGGACGTCACCAAAGCGCAGAGGGAACAGCGTGTTGATGCTTCGATTAAAATGTGTCTCACCTGCAATGCGCTCCGCAACCTAATAGCCGTGGCCTCCAAACTAATTGCGATGGCCTCCATCCTACTTGTGACGGCCTCCAACCTAATTAGAAGGGATGGCCTTCAACCTGAGCGAAAACGAAAATGTTGAGGTCAAAGTCAACTGCTTTACACATGCTGTAAGAAGCCACTAGTAAGCTACTAGTAACAAGTGCATCGCTACTAGTAACAAGTGCCTTACTAGTAGTAACAAGAAGCTACTAGTAACAAGTGCCACGCTACTAGGAACAAGTGCCTTACTAGTAGTAACAAGAAGCTACTAGGAACAAGTGCCACGCTACTAGTAACAAGTGCCCTACTAGTCAAAGGAAGCTTAGTGTGCAAAACTTCCGTGTTACGGACATTCAACAGCTGTTCAACCACCACTCATCATACACCACTCATCATACACCACTCATCACACACCACTCATCATACACCACTCATCATACACCACTCATCATACACCACTCATCATACACCACTCATCATACATTACTCATCATACACCACTCATCATACACCACTCATCATACACCACTCATCATACACCACTCATCATACACCACTCATCATACACTACTCATCATACACTACTCATCATACACCACTCATCATACACTACTCATCATACACTACTCAGGAACAGTCCGATGGGCAAGCAACTTAGTTCAGCGATGCTAGCCAAGGAACTCCAAGCGTATCGGCTCGTCCTTGTCTCCAGAGCCAGACCGCCGGTTACTCCGAGTGACACCGCTATCAATGGAACCATGTTTACTCCCTTTGTTGGGGTTCCCACGCAAAATGCCCTCGACCTTTGTGTAGTCTGGTCATTGTATGGGCTATACATGCGCAAGAACTTTTGGCCTTGCCCCAAATTAAACCCTGCTGAACTTGGAGCGCAGGCAGCCTTGCGTGACTTGGAGAAACAGGGATGGGAAACCTTGCCAATGGCCATCTTAGGGATGCCAAACCTGCCGCCGGCTTGGATGGTTGACAACTGGAAACCAATCGGGGGTTGCAAATTCACGGGATACTGCCCTGGTATAGTAGGCACTAGCGCGTTGCGATTCTGTCTCTTGCTGAGGTGGAGAGCCGCTTACCAGCCAGCGTCGGAGCAATTTTT